GGCCATTGATTGATACACCTGGTAGTAGTACACCTGTGGGTTAATTAAGACACGTCGCAATAGAGTCAACAGGTAAGAATAGGTGATAAGAATGAGTTTGAACGAATAGGTATCCCGTAAATTGTCTTATCTTCCCGAGTAACGTTTAGTACACCTCTTAATGTGAAAAAATATCTCCCTCGGTAAATTAAAATGTTTTGTTGACGCTAATAATTGTATATGTCTCACCGGGAACCGAAATATATGTGTCAAGTTTACGGATATGTGTCAAGACGTCTTCAAAGTTTACGGATATGTGTCAAGACGTCTTCAAAGTTTACGGATATGTGTCAAGACGTCTTCAAAGTTTACGGATATGTGTCGAGACGTCTTCAAAGTTTACGGATATGTCAAGACGTCTTCAAAGTTTACGGATATGTGTCAAGACGTCTTCAAAGTTTACGGATATGTGTCAAGACGTCTTCAAAGTTTACGGATCAACCCAAAAAACCCAAAATATGTCAGACGTCTTCAAAGTTTACGGATATGTGTCAAGACGTCTTCAAAGTTTACGGATATGTGTCAAGACGTCTTCAAAGTTTACGGATATGTTCAACAAAGTTTACGGATATGTGTCAAGACGTCTTCAAAGTTTACGGATATGTGTCGAGACGTCCAGTTTACGGATATGTGTCAAGACGTCTTCAAAGTTTACGGATATGTGTCAAGACGTCTTCAAAGTTTACGGATATGTGTCGAGACGTCTTCAAAGTTTACGGATAGTCAAACCCAAAAACAACCAAACGGATATGTGTCAAGACGTCTTCAAGGTTGTAGATGTCTTAGGATAGATGAAGACTTGATTCTATGTTTCTGTTTTGTGATGAGTTTTTATGATAGTATTAGTGTCAGTGTCTTGAGCCAGTGTTTTATGTGTCAGTATCTTATGTTCAGTGTCGTATGTGTCAGTGTCTTATGTGTCTATGTCTTTATATGTCAGCGTTATATGTGTCATTGTTGCCAGAGAGACGAGTCATCACATCAACTCCACTGTATCCATCATGTTAACACTCAAGGCAGCATTTTCCAATAAGCATAAGTATTCAGCATCTCACGTTAACAGCGGCTGCATCACCTTATTACCGATAGTGAAGCTGTGCCAACTACACACCTCAGCGACCACAATAGTGTGAACCGATTCGAGTTATGACTACCGACCTCCCCAACACAATGGTTTGTAATGAAGTGGTAGTATGAACACAAGTAGCCATCATACTGACCTTGAATTACCCCACCCCACCCCGCCCCGCCCCTCCCCGCCTTCGCCCCACACCCACCCTTGCCCCGCCCTGTCTTCACTCCTCTACCTCTCCCATCCCTCCCCCACCTCCAGCTCACCCATCCCCAGCTCCCCCCACACACCACAACCCTATCATAAGTTTAGCTGATATATAATACAGTTTAGAATGAGACACCACAATCTGTAGCCATTGGCGCCTGGGTTAGGTGGATTCATGCTGTAATGTTTTCATGGTGGAGATGTGTTTTTTGTAAGAGACAGTAACCACAGCGTGAACAAATGTCCGCTTTAAGAGATAGAGAAATGAACCCCAAGCCAACTCATTTACTGGGTTCAGAATAATTCGGGTAGCAAATTCAGAATTAAAAAGGATTCGGTGGTTCAGAATTTAGTGTTTCGGGGTTTTAGAGATTTTTAGATTAAGGGATTTAGGTTCCGGAGATTTAAGTTCAAATTCGAGGGTTCAGGTTTCAAATGTTTGGGTGTTCCACATTCGATATTTGTATCCCTCCCCTGCTTCTCCATCTCCCAGATCTCTCCCCCTTCCCTTCCTCTCTCTCCCTCCCGTAGCTCCCTCCCCAGCCTCCCACCCTCTCGAGATATAACTTAAAATTCTTGGAAAATCTCAAGGAAAACTAGACACCCACAAGGACAAAAACTTAGCGTCAAAAATAGCACTACCTAGCACCTGAACCCCTGCCTCCCTCCCCAACACTACCTGCTCCTCCCTCCCCCGACACTACCTGCCCCCATCCTCCACCCCGCCTCCCCAACACTCCTTAAATACAACAAACTCAACACACCGTAAGAACACAGTTTATAAAATCCCACTCAAGTATAAAGAGTAAAAACATTAAGCAAAATCCCACTCGTGGTAAAAACACTAAACACAATCCCACTCGAGGATAAAAAGAAAGAACCTAAACAAAAATCCCACTCATGTTTAACGAGTAGAAACACTAAATAAACCACTGTTGTTTGCTTGCCATTTTTAGCTCTGGCATTTCAGACACTAGCACATCAGTTAACTAGCGATGACCATAAATCAGACCAATTTCAACTTATTTAACAGCGTTCCCGATCATCCAATAGACACCTACGTACAGATAAACTGGGGTCTGATCCACAAAGCTTGCATACACAGTATTATTTCTCGTGAAGGTGTAGAATTACTTAACTGATTGGATTAAAGTTAAGTACACAAGAAGAATGTATAATGGGAGAACTTACAGATATGTTTATTTATCATCAGTTAAGGAAGATAATTAAGGTAGGTTTTTCTTGAGAGGGTGTGGGAGGGGAAGGAAGAGTGTGTTCTGTAGGTATTGTCAGTGATAAAATGAACGTATCTTGTTAAGTTAGTCTTAGTATAATGTTAATGGTTTTGGGGATTTTTTTTTTATTTTTAGTAGTCGATAGCTTGTGGATCTTATGTCTCTGCCACTTCGTTCAGCCAACCTGTTGTTGCCATCGCTGATTGGCCAACAGTGCATCATCCACACACTGGGTTGCACCAGTGAGTAATGATCCACCATGCACTTCCCCAAATTGCTTGAAACTCGTTTTTAATAGCTGCAATCAACATCTCACTGACGGCGCTTGTAAAAACTCATACCATTATGGTTCAAATTAATCGCAGACTTGAGAGGCGTCCCTAATATAAACAATCTGCCGAGGATCTCACGCCCGGCCCGTCGCTGAAGGTCCTTGACGATACGGCCACCTCCCAAGGGCTCGGTTTCATCCACCAGCAACCGCCGTATTGAATGGTGGAGAAGCCGCCCATCTCGCCAGCATGGGGACATGCGCGCGACGGAGGTCGCTTGCCCCACCATCTCGCCTGGAGATCGACCGGAACTTTTCATTTGGGATCCACCCGCGATATCTCGGCGTGAGGCATGAAATGCATCAGATATACCTATGTTGTGGCACGACTCTTCCATTCTGCTCTGCCGTCAGCACAGCATGTATTTTAGCACTAGTCAGGCATGGTTCTTCAGCATCTCCATCTCCGGCCTCCTCCAGGTCATCAGAATGAGATCGTGAACGGGCATCGCTCGCGCCTCAGGTGAGCAGAGACAAAGCCCACACGCACACACTCCCGATCACCTCCGCCTCAAGACTTATCCTCCGGCCTTGAGTGCGCAGAAGCTCACCCGTTATTGATGAACTTGTAATCCTTCTCACACACGGGTTTACATATTGTTAAGAGATCTGAGGAGGCGGCGAGGAGCAGAGAGGAGTCACTATACCTTACCATTACTTACTGAATTTTCCCACCAACACCCTGATGACGACACCTCACCTGTAATGCTCCCTGGGCCACATTCACAAAGGCTCCTACGATAAGTATTTCATAACAAGGTGTAAGACTGAACAGAAAACCAAAACACAAAATTACTATTTTAAGGAAGCATCAATGTTACGCCGAGACTCGACCTTAACTTAATACGATCACTTAACATCAGACAAGTTTCAGGTAGAAAATCTTAAATAATATTAAAAACAGCAAAGATTAAATGAAAGAATAATGAATTAAATGCGAAGAAACTAAAATCTAAGAATAAATAGAATTAAAACTAATAATATGAATAAATTGGAAAAATAATGAAAACACCAGAGATAAAAAATAAGAAGTATTTATCGCACTTAGACAAAGCAAGCTTACGCCCACCAGCTTCAATAAAAGCTTCGTGATATCATATGGTTATGCTTCAACTTCACCTTTGTTTCAATTACAGTTTCAGTTTGTGGTGGGGCCGTACGCCGACCTCAGACAATAAAGAAAACCTTTACTAATTAATTGCTGCTCAGTCCCAAGGAATTGGTGGGGAGGCGGGATGAATGTAAGGAAACAGCTTACTTTCCTGTTTCTTACTCAAACAACCAATGGCGGGTTTTTAAAAGTTTCAAATTGTTTTATTTCAACATTATTACTGTGTGTTACCTTAATACGCTGTTACCTTAATATGCTGTGTTACTTTAATGTTACATGCTGTGCTATTTCTACACCCTCAAAATACCTACGTTCTGTGTTGCCTAGAGACTCAATCAACATTCGACCAGGTGATAAACTTAATTTAATTTATACCTGCAAGGAAAAAAAAAGTCTCAAACCTCTTTATAAAATTGTGTTGGGAAAACCAGTACCCAGGAGGCAGTTGAAGAACACTGGAGACCAGAGGCTGAAGAACACTAGGAGACCAGAGCTGAAAGTCCAATGATAACATAAACAATGTAATAGAATTAATACGATAATGATAAGAAGAAAAAAAAAAAAGGAAGAAAAAAATAAACAAATGTATTAATAATGATGATAATGAACACTAATGATAAATACGATGAGAGGAGAGAGAGACAATAAGTTTATTAATAAATTTTAGAAATTCATGATAATATAACAACAATAATAAGAATAAGAAAAGGTAGAGTAATAAAAAATATATAAAATTTTAATTGAAAGAAAGAAAGCAGTTCATATATTATTAAGAGGAAAATCTTTAATAATGGTATTAATGATAATAATAATAATATCAAGAAGAAGAAGAAAGAGCATAAGAAAAAAAAATATTATAATCATTATAATTGGAAGATTAATGATTACAACAGTAGTAAGGAAACGCCATGCTTAAATCTGTTGCTGTTTTGTTGCTGCTCTCTTGTTGCTGTCTTGTTGCTGTTGCTCTTGTTGCTGTTGCTGTCTTTGTTATTTGTTGTCTTGTTACTGTTTTGTTTCTGTTGTTGTCTTGATACTTTTGCTGTCTGATACTGTTGCTGTCTTGATACTGTTGCTGCTGTCTTGTTGCTGTCTTGATATTGTTGCTGTCTTGACACTGTTGCTGTCTTGTTGCTGTCTTGATACTGTTGCTGTTTGATACTGTTGCTGTCTTGATACTGTTGCTGTCTTGTTGCTGTTGCTGTCTTGATACTGTTTCTGTCTTGATACTGTTGCTGTTTTGATACTGTTGCTGTCTTGATACTGTTGCTGTTTGTTGCTGTTGCTGTCTTGATACTGTTTCTTGTCTTGTACTGTTGCTGTCTTGTTGCTGTCTTGTTTCTCTTGCTGTCTTATTCTGGCTATCTTGTTGCTGTTACTGTCTTGATACTGTTGCCTGTTTTGTTGCTGTCTTGATACTGTTGCTGTCTTGTTGCTGTTGCTGTCTTGATACTGTTGCTGTCTTGTTGCTGTTGCTGTCTTGATACTGTTGCTGTCTTGTTGCTGTTGCTGTCTTGATACTGTTGCTGTCTTGTTGCTTTGTTGCTGTCTTGATACTGTTGCTGTCTTTGTTGCTGTTGCTGTCTTGATACTGTTTCTGTCTTGATACTGTTGCTGTCTTTGTTGCTGTTGCTGTCTTGATACTGTTGCTGTCTTGTTGCTGTTGCTGTCTTGATACTGTTTCTGTCTTGATACTGTGCTGTCTTGTTGCTGTTGCTGTCTTGATACTGTTGCTGTCTTGTTGCTGTTGCTGTCTTGATACTGTTGCTGTCTTGTTGCATTTTGCTGTCTTGATACTGTTGTGTCTTGATACTGTTTCTGTCTTGATACTGTTGCTGTCTTGTTTTTTTGCTGTCTTGATACTGTTGCTGTCTTGTTGTTTTTGCTGTCTTGATACTGTTGCTGTCTTTTGCTGTTGCTGTCTTGATCTGTTGCTGTCTTGATACTGTTGCTGTCTTATTTACTGTTGCTGTCTTGTCTGTTGCTGTCTTGTTTAGCTGTCTTGTTTCTCTTGCTGTCTTGATACTATTTCTGTCTTGTCGCTCTTGCTGTCTTGTTGCTGTTGTTGTCTTGTTGCTGTTGCTGTCTTGTTACTGTTGCTGCTTTATTTGTTGTCTTGTTGCTGTCTTTATTTGCTGTTGTTGTCTTGTTGCTGTTGTTGTCTTATTTGCTGTTGCTGTCTTGTTACTGTTGCTGCTTTGTGTTTGTCTTGTTGCTGGCTGTTTTGTCTTGCCTGTTGCTGTCTTGTTGCTGTTGCTGTCTTGTTGCTGTTGCTGTCTTGTTGCTGTTGCTGTCTTGTTGCTGTTGCTGTCTTGTTGCTGTTGTTGTCTTGTTGCTGTTTTTGTCTTGTTTGCTGTTGCTGTCTTTATTATATTTGCTGCTTTGTTGTTATCTTGTTGCTGTTTTTGTCTTATTTGCTTTTGTTGTCTTGTTGCTGTGCTGTCTTGTTGCTGTTGCTGTCTTGTTGCTGTTGTTATCTTATTGCTGTTGCTGTCTTGTTGCTATTGCTGTCTTATTTCATGTTGTCTTGTCTCTTTGCTGTCTTGTACTATTTGCTGCTTTGTTGTTGTCTTGTTGCTGTCTTATTGCTGTTGTTGTCTGTTGCTGTTGTTGTCTTGTTGCTATTTGCTGTCTTTATTACTGTTGCTGCTTTATTTGTTGTCTTTTACTGTTTTTGTCTTGTTGCTGTTGTTGTCTTTTGCTGTTGCTGTCTTATTTACTATTGCTGTCTTATTTGCTATTGTTATCTTATTGCTATTGCTGTCATTTTTTGCTATCTTGTTGCTGTTGTTGTCTTATTTCTGTTGCTGTCTTATTACTATTACTGCTTTATTTATTTGTCTTGTTGCTGTCATTGCTATTTGTTGTCTTGTTGCTGTTGTTGTCTTTTTACTGTGCTGTCTTATTACTCTTGCTGCTTTATTTATTGTCTTGTTGCTGTTGTTGTCTTGTTCTATTTGTCTTGTTTGTTGCTGTCTTGTTGCTATTTCTGTCTTATTTCTCTTTGCTATCTTTTTGTATTTGCTGTCTTGTTGCTGTCTTGTTACTGTTGTTATTACGGCTGCTAAATCCACCTGTCACCACTACACTCAACATTATCCACCTCTTCACTCAACCCACAACCAACACCACCACCACCACTACTACCATCACTACTACCAACACCACCATCAATACCAACACCACACCTATCCACTACAATACAACACCACCACCATTACCACCATCACTATCACTACCACCACCACCACCTATAAATACCACCACCACCAAAACCACTATCACCATCACTACCACTACTCATCACCACTACCACCACCACCACCAAATACCAACACCACACCTATAAATACCACCACCATCACCACCACCACCACCACCACCATAAATACTAACACCACACCTATAAATACCACCACCACCCACCTACAAATACCACCACCACCATCACCACCATAATACCACCACCCCACCACCACCACCACCATCACCACCAACACCACCACCACCACTTCCTCCTCCCCCTCGATCAACCACCAATCATTTGTCCTGTTCCTGCTTCCCTCAGTTCTTACCTGTATTCCTTACCTCTAATGTAATTATCCGACAGGTTGACAGAAGAACAAACTACGCCTCCATTTGTCCCAGGTGTTCACTGCGTATGTCCGGCGCGTATACCTGCTTCTCGTAATCTACACAAGCTCGTGTTAAACCGTAATTGAAGTGGGTGGAGGTTGGGGAAGTGGGGTAACGTCACCTGTGTGGTACTGTCACCAAATGAAAAAAAGGTTACTGTACCTGTACTTTATACCTGTACGATTATAAAGCCCACACGAGGATAAAACCCGCGAATCCCTAAACCCACGAGAACCTAAACCCACAAGAGGAGAAAATCCGCGAGTCCTCAAACCCACATCGAGGACGACCGCTCGAGGACTCCTCGAACACGAGAGACAAGCTAGCAGGGGTGTCCTTATGCCTCACGTGTTCCTGAGAGGCAATAAAGCCGACGGTCTGCGGCCTCTAAACCCAACCATATTAGTCAGTGACACTCTTGGTGAATGGGCAGCCACGTCTCCTGCTGCTGTTGGGGTCACATGGGTCCTCTTCTGCTACTGCTGGTTCATGTGAGAGGTTCTCTGCTGCTGTGCCTTCTGCTAGGATCGCTAGGTTCTCTGCGGCTGTGCCTCTGCTTGAGTCATATAGGTTCTCTGCTGCTGTGCTTTCTGCTGTTATTGGCCTGTACCTTCCGCTTGAGTCACATAGTCCCTTTCCTCCGCTCCTGCTGTGCCTTCTGCCAGAGTTATACGTCAGGTCTCCTCCTGCTGCTGCTGCTGCTGCTGCTGCTGCTGCTGCTGCTACTGCCGCCTTCAGCCAGGGTCCGAGTTGGATCACTGACTGGGAGGCCGTGGGACACCAACATTTATCATGGGGGGTCACGTACAATATTTATCCGGAGGGTACAGCCTAAATATTTTCAGAGGGTCGTGATGCAGATACACTTCAGAGAGTAATGGGGCAAATATTTTTTCACCGGTGTTAGTATTTATCTAAGGGTCAAATATATATCAAGAGGCTACAAATTTAATCATTTTTCAGCGAGGTCGTGATGCATTATATTTCATGGATCGTCTTATGAATATATTTTTTTACGGCTATAATATGCTAACTTATGAAGGATGTCAGGAAATATCAGAAATGTTAAGAATGCCATCTACTTCAGGAGGCCATTGTATAAATATCAATAAAGTTAGAAGGATTATGGCGTTATGTGTGCTACTGACAACACTTAGACAAAAAAAAAAAAAAAAAAAAAACTAAACAAGCATAATATACACTTATAAAAATATCATCGTAAATGTTAATAAGCATTACAATTCACCTTCTCATGCTTCATGTTTCTTAGATTAAAACACAATCAACAATTAGTGCAGCTGTTTATACCATAATTCCATAATAGCGGAAAAACGTAAAAAATTTCCAGTATACAAAAAACATACATTAGTGTTATTTTCTTATTGCATTATAAATAATAATAAAGAACCAGAAATTATTTTAACAATATAGAATACAAAATGAATAACTCAATTTCAAATATCCGAATGTTAACAGTATGCAAAGATGATGTTTATTACACACAGGTTCTATAACCCTCGACGATGATTTAACCCGCTAAGAAGATGATTTAAAAATTGCACAAGATTTTGAACATTTCGTTCAAAATTTAATTAAGAGAACAAACAAACAAATTCTCTTGTCGGGTGATCACGGACCTCACCATCAATGTTTTACCTAATCAGCTGTTCACGCTAAATGTTTAGCAGCTGATGAGAAAAATTTTGTTTAGGATATATTTCATCAATTATAAAGTGTAAATTAATGGATAATAATAATAATAATAATAATATATAATAATAATAATAATAATAATAATAATAATAATAATAATAACATAACAACACTAATAACAATAATAACAACAATAACAGCAATAATAACAACAATAACAGTAACATTAATAACAATAACAATAAAAAAAATAATAACTAACAATATTAACAACAATAACAAAATTAACAACAATAATAACAATACAAACAACAATAACAACAACAATAATAACAAATAATACCAAATAATTTACACCAATCATCGTAAACCAAAATAACTAAATAAAAACCTTCCCTTTTAAGACCTAATTTACCTTCCACAGTTCACAACGTTAGGCAGTAAATCCGGATGAGTGATGGAAAAATAAAGACGATTTATGTAATGTAGTTCCAGCTTACATGACGGAACATGACATGACGTGACGTGACAGCTTACGTCCATCATCCCCTCGACTGAAAAATTTATACCGTAATTAAAGGAAAATTGTTTAGTTATTTGTGTTACTTGAGAATGAAATAAACTTAAATGTTACTTAAATAATGGATGATTTATTCTGTTATGTTTTGTTTTTATGATTAGGAAGAAATTTTGATGGTTTAAATTGGGTTTTTTAATTGGTAAGTATATTTTGGTCACAAGTTAAAGTAAAATAAATAAAACTAGGATTGACTAAATTGATGTGACTCGACAGTTTGCAATAGTCAAAATCAAAAGCTGTTGAAATATATAAAACTAAAAATAATCATTCTAACCTAACCTAACCATCTACATAATTTATACCCCCAACTGCTGCTGATAAAATACATATAAGACGGAAGTACGGACGGACGGACATACAGATACATACGGAGAGTCTAAACAAAACCAAAAAATATCGTATCTATTCTGAGACCCTGAACTGCCCTCCAGACATCCGTAAGTGTTCAAAGTGAACACTTCCTTCCCCCTCCTCTCATCCCCCTCCCCTTCACCACACCCCTCCCCTTGCCCACACTCCGTCATCTCTCAGTGTTTTCAAAGTATTCTGACAGTTCCTCTTGGTTTCCTCCACCTGATGTAGTCACGGAAGAGGAAATAAAAATGGCTCTCATGCGTAAACATTGCGGGAGTAAAATTTTACCCACGTTTTGTTATCTGTTATTTTCGTCTCTTTTTAAGGTAATTCATATCTACTACAGGGTTCTTTTGTTTCCTTAGACACAACATGTTATAAATTTCTTGTTATTTTCATTATTATTTTTTGGGTATTATCGACATCATTGTAATCATTAAGTCGATTATCGTCATTTATTATTATTATTATTATCATTTATTTTATTTTATTATTTTCTCTTGTCTATATGATCACATTTGGTGTGTCTGATAGCAATAAACATTTGCATAACTTTTCTGTGCGACAAGTTGTTATTTTGGTGATAAAACTCATTACCTGACTATCACCTGGCGAGGGCGTCAGGTAGCGGAGATAGTTAGTAGTGTGTGTGTGTAATCTAATTCCACACACACACACCACACACACACACACACACACAGAATATTTCATGTCTTTTTTAAATATTACTTGTTTTTGTGAGTATTTTTCGGTGGTGGAGCATTTAATTTTCACCATTTGTTTCAATTTCGGAGGCTACTATAATTTTCTCTCGTCAGGTGAGCTCTGGGTTTTATTGTGAATTATGATACGTGTGTGTGTGTGTGTGTGTGTGTGTGTATGTGTGCGTGCATACGTGCGTGTGTGTGTGTGTGCATGTATTGTGTGTGCAGTGCGTGCGTTACCTGTGTATGGGTTCATGAAGGCATTTATAGACTCGTAGGGTCATGTAATGCCTTTCCTTCTCTCACCCTTTTCCCATTCCTGTCAGTTCCCCCCTTACAACCTTTTCTTTTTCACTTCCCGACCATCCGGACCCTCCATTTCCACCTTCCTCCTACTTCCTCCTGCCCTCCTACCACCACTACCTCCACTACCACCCTCCCACTACCACCCTCCCTCCCACCACCCCTCCCTCCACTACCACCACTACCCCTCCCTACCACCACTACCATTCCCATCATCATCCCTACTTCCCTCCCCACTACCACCCCACCCCTACACCTCCCCTCCCTACCACCCTCCCCTCCCCTCCACCCCCCCCCCCCGCAACTTCCCTTTAGACCCTGTAAGCCCTGACGAGTCACTAATCAGCTGGTGTATATACTCTGTTTCTCAGGCTGTGGTCTACCTGGCGCCCCTAGCACAGAGTATTGGGAGTAGTCAAATGGAATGTGAGCAGCAACCCTAACATCCTCCTTGCCCCCTCCAATGACCGCCTCCCTCTCTCTCTCTCATACTGACTCCTCCCAAACACCTGTCAAATAATCTGAAAGAACCCCAGAATACATAACCAGCCTCTCTCTCTCTCTCTCCTCTCTCTCTCTCTCTGTCTGTCTGTCTGTCTGTCTGTCTGTCTGTCTGTCTGTCTGTCTGTCTGTCTGTCTGTCTGTGTCTGTCTGTCTGTCTGTCTGTCCTCTCTCTCTCTCTCTCTCTCGTATAGGTTACCAAATCCATTGAATCTGAATCACCTTGAACTAAACATAACAAATCCTCCTCACCATCATCTCTACAACAACTGCTACACTGATTCACCTCACTCAGCGACATTAATTCATCTCCCCATGGTGTGTAGAAGAGAGAGCTCACACCTGTTATAAATTAGTGGTAGTAATTCAGTCGACTATTTATGGCAGCTAATTCCTTCAGGGTTCTAGACAGTGAGCTTTGTGGGTTCCTTGTCAATTGGTCAGTCATCTTGTTCATTAGGTTGATTTCATTTTCCTTCTGTGTGGGAGTTCTTTCTCTCTCTCGGGGGTAGGGAAGGGGCGTGCTGGATGGTGTTCCAGATGGTGATGGGGGAGGGGGTTTCCGGATGTTGGGTTTGGGAGGGCATGCTAGGTGCTGAGGAGGGTTTGCTAGGTGCTGAGGATTTCTGCTAGGTGCTGGGAGGATCTGTTGGGAGGGGTCTGCTGGGTGCTGAGGAGGGTTTGCTAGATGCTGGGTGGTCTGCAGGTGCTGAGGAGGGTCTGCTAGGTGCTGGGTGGGGAAGTGGGAGAGAGCCAGCCAGGTGCTGGGTGGGGAGAGAGGTTGCTGGGTGGGGTGAGAATTCTTGGGACAAGAGGGAAGAAATAGGCGGTTGATGAGAGGGTGAGGGAGAAGAATGGCTAGTAGATGGGGGTGAGAAAAAGGAGAATGTCGCTGAGATGAAGAGTTGGTCATACAGTGGAAGGAGGTCGTAGAGTAAGGAAGGAAAGAAAGGGTCGTACAGTAAAGGAAGGGGCAAGTATAGTACAGAAAGAGGGGTCGTACAGTAAAGGGGAATAGAAGGGTCGTACAGTAGAGGAGAGGGTCATTACACTAGAAAGAACAGTCGTACAATAAAAGGGATGAAGGGTCCTTACACTAAAAAGGAGAAGGGGTCGTACAGTGGAAGGAGGGTCTACAGTAGAAGGAGAATGGGTCGTACAGTGAAAGAAGAATGGGTCGTACAGTAGAAGGAAGGAAGTCGTACCAGTGAAGGGAGGGAGGGAGGGTCTTATAATAGAAGGAAGGTGGGGAGTCGTACTTAGAAGGAGGGAGGAGAAAGGTCGTACAGTACAGGGGAGAGGGTCCATTTAGGCCCATATTGGGAGAAGATAAGAAACAATAATTACAAAGGTTATCGTCTGAGATATGATTACCTTTTATGATTACGTTTTTGTCAATAATGGACGAGGGGCTGTGCAGGGCTGTCCTGTCTGTCTGTCTGAGTGGGAATGCGTCTGCGTGTGCCTGTGTTTGTCTGTGTGCGTGTGCATGTGCTTGTGTGTGCGTGTGTGTGTGTGCGTGTGCAGAAACCCCGCTATGAAAGGAGATGCATGTGTTGACTTCATCTGTTTTCTGCTTTTGTCTTTATTTTTTTTATAATTTTCTCTTATTTTTTGTATTTAACGTTATTTTTATTTAAAATTTTCTATTTTCCTTGTTTTAAATTTTCATATTTTGCTGTTTCTTCTTTGGTATTTATGTCTATTGTTTCTCGGGGTTCCACTATTATTATATATATTTTTTAACTTGTTTTATATAATTTTTTGCCTTTTGTAATTCTACGTTATTTCTGTGTTCAACTTTCTATTTTCTGTTATTTTCCTTATTTTGTTCTCCCCAATTTCTTTTACCTTATTTTATATTTTATTTTATATTCCATTTGTCCTCTCTCTCTCTCTCTCTCTCTCTCTCTCTCTCTCTCTCTCTCTCTCTCTCTCTCTCTCTCTCTCTCTCTCCCCCCCCCCTCTCTCTCTCTCTCTCCCCCCAACACAGACAGAGGCTGGCTGGACAGATATTAAACAGTGTGTCTAAGGTGTTAGATATGTAAAAAATATTCCGTCTTGTCCTTATCTTACAACACTACAGGATAAGTTATGGTCATGTATGTTAAATGTCTGACACACACACACACACACACACACAACACACACACACACACACCTCTC